AGTACAAGGGCCCCGTGGTCTGTTCCCCCGCCGTGAATCGCCGGGAGAATGTCGGGGCCCGACCCGTCGTGCATATACCTACGCACCATACCAGATGGAGAAAACAAATAGTGTGATCGCTTAACTGTTGCTGTCTAAAGTGACTTTCGTTAGGGCACGGCCGAGTCACGTGTTCAAATATTGTGTAAGGGGATTGTTCGGTAAACGGGGCCACGGACGAGTTACGAGGGTGTCGGGGGGCCTACAGTAATTTGAAAACGTCGAACTGGCCTATTCAAACCCCTTTATCAGCTACGTCGTTAACACCGATTCTCTCCAAATATCAAAGGAGTATTTTATCGGCTCGAGTATCGTAACTTTCCTTCGATAGAATATTATTCAAGGAACAAGCATGCAACGCGATGTTTACGTTCGCGTTGCACGCTGACCATTCATCGAAATATTTCGTGGTTCGGATTTGTTTTCACGCGGCGAGCTCCACGTTTTGTTTACCGCCTGTTAAGCACTGTAATGGCGATTACGATCCGCGTGGTGGTGAAAAAACGCGTACGAGGTAGGGGTACACACTGCAGCGGTTACTTCACCGTGAACGATACGTGAGACTCATGAAAACACAACGTTAGCTCATTCATGGCTTTCGTTGAATTCGAGGCCCAAACAGTCGAATATATGCATGCCATTCATCGCTCGGCCGTTCGATTCGTCTTCCGATTTCTTTTCGTTCGTAAACAATACGTATCGATCTCAGATATCTCGCTATATATGCGCGGCTGGGTTTATATTTACGAATACCTTCGTTCGAACAGGCGATTAGGGGAGTTCCACGGCGGCGATCAGTCTCCCCATAAGTTCCTTTCATATATTCAAATTTTATTGGATTTTATTTCTATCTCAGTTTTAATCACACCTTTTTAATTTAATTTCAACGTGTTTAGAAACAATTCTTATTCCAACAACCATCTACAACGTCTGTGATAAATATATAAAATACACAAATTCCTAACTTGGAAACAAGAATGTCGCATTGTCACTTGCTCTAAGAACTTAATACAGTTACAAAATTATCTCTGCTCAGAAATCAATGAATTCGTACCTTTTTTAACACGTTGACTGTCAGATCAAGTTCCTCGAATTGTCCACGAAAAAGAAATTTTGTTTTTTAGACAATTGGGAACTGGCAGACCCATTGTCATACAAATTATTTTTACATCCTCGTTAAAATTCAAGAGTCTTGCTTTTTTTGAGAATTAATTATTATTAATTGAATGAACCTGAACGTTGCTTTATATTTTTAGTCGTCAGTCAGTGTCGACAATGCGATCACTGTCGTTGGAAAATAACTTTATTTCCGTCCAGGAATTGGAAGCGAAGAGTCACAGTAGCCTTTGAATATTAATTTGCACGAGTGCATCAGTCTCGCGTTATTATCCTATCGAGTTACGGATCCCCGTGTAACACAGTCGACTCGAACATACGGCATAGGGATTCATGGCCCGCCATTAAAATTGCAAATTACATACAAGGGTGTTGACAGAGTGTTCCTGGTTTTTAGTGTCCCTTTCTTTCGCGGTTTCGTCCTCTTTTTACGACGGTTCGCGGAACACACCGTTCCCGCGTCGAAGCAGAAGATTGCTCGAAAATTATGCAACGTTTATACAAAGTTGAATCCATTTGGTGACAAACGCGACCGGCGAATGAATTCGTCGAAACGACCGGTAATGTTTCTCCGAATAAATCGCGACGCGTGTTCAATGTTGTTCGACTCCGTGACGAACTTCCACTCTGACCGAAATTTCGCAAACCAAACTTCAATACAGTGTGAACGTCTTCGAATGCAAATTACTGGACAATTTGAAATCGTAAATTTAAATTGTAAATTTCAGGGAAGATCAATATATGGTAACTTGTCAACGTCTGATGTCTTTGACTGTAGATCTTTTCAAATTCATGGATTCTTAAAGCAAATTTTCTTACGCTCTTGGTATTATGAAAATTGAATAGTTTTCAATAGACACGGGTATTCCAGTAATTAGATTTAATGAGAAGGTGTGAAATTTTTCGACAAAATTAAAAAATTTCAAATTGTCCTAAAAAAATTATTTTTGGTTGCAGGTGTTAATTATAATCATTTTTGGTCAATAGACATACCCCCGAATTCCTACCCACTTTCGAGAAAAAAAATTCAGTATGGGCGAAACTTTAAATGTTAATAATTTTTTAACGAAGCCTCCATCAACAAATCGGTATTCTTGATTTTCGTCCTATTTTGGCCCCTAGAATCTCCCATTACAATTTTTTCTAAGGGTGGTCGAACACTCTGTATAAGTAGAAATTAATATTTCAAAATCTAAAAATTTATAATATGAATTCAAATTCGATAGGTGAGAAAATTAATAGAAAATCGAATATGTCATTGTGAAGATTTAGTGTTTGAAAATGATACTTACGATGCTTCATTTTCGAAATAATAATAATTTGCCTGATGCGTCTGTCCATTACTTGCCATTTCTACTTGCGGTGCAAATCGAACTCTATCTCGATACATTTTCGAATTAAATTTTCTCAAAAACGAATTCTACGTTTTCGACAGAGTTCGAGGAACCAGGGTTTCGCAGGTGCAAACTGTTCGCAGGTTCGCACTGGCCAGGTTCCAGTCGACGGCTTTTAGCGAACGACGACTAATCATCGCGCGTTGCAGTTGCGGACTTTGACAGACTCCGGCATTGTTAGCCGGGTCGGAACGATAATTACGAGCCGCGTAACCGCCCGTACGGGCAGAGCATTATCGTTTCACCACAGATTTTCGTTCCGTTTTCTTTCGCACGGCCGTTCTCGGTACGGGCGTTTCTTCTGTCGCGGTGGACCGTTTCGCGTGGCGATTCTCGCCTTGGAAACAACCGTTCGCGGAAAAACGACCGAACGAACGAGCAAGAACGCTAGACACCTCGCAAACACCAGCGAATCGTTGGTGTTACCACCACTGAATAAATCAGCACATTGACAGAGGTAGACATTTCAGAAATCGAAAAGTAGATATTCATGAGGTTCTTGAAAGCGATCAATGGGGGAGTTACGGAAGTTCTGCTAGGAAACGAGCGTAAATTACACAAATTTCTCTACCGAGGCGTTGTTTACGCTTCTCTTATTTACTGAGCGATGATAGTCAATGACGTAAATGCAAACGAATTATTTTCAATAACTTGGAAGCACGTAATCGATAGAAAAGATTCTTAGACCGTTGAGAGTCTCTCAGCACGTTACTGAAAATAGTATAAACGATGTTGGGGGCGTTTTTGGTCCGCAGGGGTGACAACGGATGAAAACAATCGCGTTCTCATGGACAGCCACGGTTATTCCGAGCCACGTATATTCCAGTCAACGAAGAATCCGCAAGAAAAGAGAGGAAGAAACCGAGCGTGGAACAAGCGAACCGACCAGCCATTACCGATCGCACTAGTCATTACCAACAGAACTTTCGAGCTCCCGGACCCGAGCATCTGTCGGCGATAAAACAGCACCTGATCGGTATCCGCTCATTACTATCTGCTACGAGGTATGTGGACAGGTATGTAGGTATTCGTGTAACAGTTGAGCCGTTCTTACGAAAATAAGAGAAAAGCTTAGTGAATCGATCAACAGCGTACGTCTTGGCCTTTCCTTTCTTCTGTCTTCATCGTTCACCGTATATCACCGTATCTGAATTGTCCTGTACATTCCCGGAATCTCAGACACGTTGCTCTCGCGTACACCAATATTTTAATTCCATTAATTGGGATAATGGGCCACATTAATCTGTCGACGTTCGTAAACCAAGAATGTTTACACTTTGATCGTTTCACTATTTTTATGCACTGTGCATCTTCGCGTTAGCATCAGGTTTGGAACTCTCATTGCACCATCTTTGATTTGTTTTTTAAGGGGCACTATTGCATCATTCAATAATTTACGTTGTTTACACCTACTTTGTATATCAATGAAGCTACTCTAAATAAAATATTTTAAGCGAAAAAAAATATTTCAAATTCTTTGATCCACAAGAAATTTAACGATTAGTCAAAATGTACTACGCAACGTTTCGCTAGACCGACCAAGAACCTTGCACGCGCGTCGAAGTAGTACGTAGTTTCGATAACAAGTATCAAGCATCGGTATAACAATAATTCTCCGACAAACAGGAGAATCGAAATGGAACAGCTTACCGATAAACGTTTCGTACGCCTGTAGCAATTTCGTCACGGAATTCGCAGCCGCGTATGCAAACTTACGTTGTGAAAACGCCGCGTGAAATCGAACGCACGCGAAACGAGAGAACACGGCGGCGGGTTTCGAAACGGAATACTTCCGTCTTACGATACCAGAAAATAGTAGATCGAGGAATTCATTGTCGGTCGGGGAGATAGCGGGGTCCCCACGCGTTCAACGATCGATCGTGATCGTAAATCAAGCGACAGACGGTGCTACGGGGTACAAACCAGGATTCTGGATCCGTTGCACGGGGGTACGAGATCGGCAGAAGTGTCGCGCGAAACGAGGTCGATCCACAGTGCGCGATAAATTATCGCCGATCGAGAAGAACAGTCCGCGAAACCACGCGGATAATTTACGGATCATGGACGGAGCTGTGAATCAAATAAATTTCCAACGACCGTTCAAACGAACCTTTCACCCCGCTAAACGCAACTTAAAATCCTCTTTCAAGTTTAATGTAATCTTTTTTCAGCTGGTTTTCCTTCAAATGAGATACATTAATTTCTAGTTAATATCTCATACCTGCAATGTTTGTTTGACAAGAATCAAGAACAAGAAAAAATTGATACGAACTTCAAATTTAATTTAAGCTTTTCTTTTTTAATGTATTCCTGTGAATAAATTTTCTAGCTAGCTTTCCTTTAAATGATGTACAATAACTTCTAGTTAATAACTCATGCATGTAATGATCGTTCGACAAGAATCATGAGTATTTTTACAGAGTAAATACGAAAGAAAAATGGTCCACTCACCAGAAGTCGTGACGTCGTCCATCTTGAGCGGCAGGTTGGCTGGGTCTCCGAAATTTCGCAATTCGTCGGATCGATGGGAGGCTGCATGGAAAAGGAGAAGACGGGTTTTCTTCTTTTTGATCGTGACAGCGTTCTCGAGGATAAATTGCGCCTCTGTCGCGCACACGTACGATAGACAATAGGGCCAGAGGCGCGGAACGTGCGTCGTGAGTGAAACGCTGAAAATTGCTTCCCCTGGGGTGACATTAGATTCGCGCGCGCGAGAAAGCAAGACGGGGCGCGTCGTTTACCGTGTAATTTGTTTATCGAATCGGGGACAAGGAGACCTTCGAGGAACGACTAGAAAATTACCTCGGTTATTTACGGGGGAATTTGTTACGCACAATCTCCGGTTGTCGATTTTTATTTTTCGTGAATTTCCGTTCGCCTCGCGAGCGAACATCGTAAACAAACTTTGGATAAATACTTGTGGTTAATTTTCGTTAACTTGAGAAGAAACGATTTGAATCGCGTGAAAGTTCGAACAAGCTTGAAAGATTTCAATCTTGCATACGACAGAGATTTATTTACGTGGAGCTAAGAATAGACGTAATATTAATTAAAGGGTGTGATTACAAACTTTATATGTAGATTGATAAAACTCGTTGGAAGTAACGAAATAGTCGTCATAAATATATTTACCGTATTGCTGTTTATGATCGACCAGTTTCCTATTACGGATAAATCTACTTGATACGCAGAACAACTCCGAGTTTAATTCGATTTAATAAATATACGCGCAGGATATATCTGGTAAATTGATCGGGCTATAACTCTGCCCCAAGTGAATTTAGAAAAAACTGATTTTATTTATATACACAGCATGACCCGAGGAATCAAAGTATATAGAAGAAAATCAGTTAGTTTTGTTTTAAGAAAATGCAATTACACTTTGGAAATGCATCTGTTATTCAACTGATTAATTTGTAAACAATAGTTCTTTGTAATCTATCGATACAATTTAAATAACCGAAATAATCCAAATAAACACTAAAGTATCCAATAAGTTATTAGTTTCCAAATACATATATGGATATTAAGAATTTCTCGTTCGAGTTTTATCAACCCCTAAATTTTCTACCCATATTTCACATTTAGGTTTCCAGAAAATCGAAATTCTCGCTGTCACGATCAAATGCACGTTTCTCGTCGACCTGAAACAAGCTCAAGTGTAATACGTTCCAAAATACATCGCTTCCAGCGATTACATTCTTAGCGATGAACAAAAATTAGCCGTTCGATTACACGCAAGCCATAAAAATGTTCGTATCGAGTTCGTTTACGCTCGGAAGGAGATCGTTATTCTCAAAAAATTATGCCTTTGTAAGGTTGCCGCTGACAACTGCCACTTTTCGATCGTTCCCGATCATCGTTGCGTTCTTAACCAACGTCTTCGAAATGAGATTTCTCCGTGATTCGATCAAAGTGGTGGTTCGGATAGATCACCAGGATCCTTGCCACGGATTAAACGCGAAACAACGGATCACGCTTCTTCCTCGACGATACCAAAACAACCCTTAGCGTTCTGGAATTAGAGAAATCGAGAATTTCGTGGCCTAATTTAAACTAGTTGCACTAGACACGTAATCATTTCAATTCGCGATCTTTCGAAAATTTTTTAAATAGACTGTATCTCGATTGCTTGAAAATGAAGATAATCGAACGTTGAAGGAAGTTCGTAAACACATGAGAAATCTCGGGACGAACTTAAGGGATGATCTGATATCTAAATAACGCGTACCAGGAATTCTTAGTACGTTTGTACGTCGAGTGTCGAAGTTTCCAATCCACTCTCAAATTGATAAACAATATAAGAGTGTCAAGGTACTAAAGACCATAAAAAATCGAACAATTTCTCGTAAAATTCTACAATATATTTGAAATAGTACGAACTCGAGGGATGATCTGATATTTAAATAACGCGAAACGCAGATTCCTCCTTCGTTTGTACGCCAGGTGGCAATGTTTTCGATCTACCCTGGTGTTTACAGCCGCAGGATGGATCCAGCGTCGAGCGGGACGCCCGATTAAAATGAAAATCCGTAGGTTGGTCTCGCCGCGATCCTTCGGGGTTGCGGTCGAACGCGAGACTGCGGCATCTGCCGGGATCCAGGATAATTATTTACGTCAGATAGGATCTCTCGACTGGGGTTCCGCGGCGGGAAACAAAAGAATCCGGCATAGGGAAGGATACGAAGGCGAGGGGAGGGGAATTCCGAGACAGGCTACGCGCCGCGTTTCACGTTTCCCTATGGACGACAGCCGACCGACCGCGGCGAGGACCTTGGCGGACCGAAGGGTCCTGGCTAAGGATCCTGAGAACCCTACGACGCGGTTTTTTCCCCCGATACGGTTAACAGATATGAGACAATGGGTTCGACCGCGGGCTCTATGATGTCTTCGAACTCGAGAGGAACTTTTATGGCTGGCCGTAATCGTTGCCTCCGTCCTCCCGATGACATTACGGCGTCGTTAAAACGGACGAAACCGCGCGTGTTCCAGTTGATACAACTATTTGTACAACGAACACCTAAATGATCAGTGCCCGTGCAACATTATTACCGTGCTTAATGAAATATTAGCCTGGGAATCGTGCTCGCGCTTTTACGAGCTAGTGGTATGCCGCGCGCGAGTAATGAAGAATTATTCTCCGAAGAGATACGTACGGGTAGTTTTATACCGTACGTAAAGCTCGTGCGTGGACGGGCTGTAAAACCGTCGGTGAATAAGCCCTCGGATAAATACTTGCAGCGGCCAGTCGTTGTAAACAATGTTGCTACAAACGAGCTTGATAATTGAGGCGGCCTCTTCCTCGCATGCCTCGGTACACGTGTACCGTTCGACCGCATCGTAATTCCCCGACTACGCTATGAAGTCTGTTCTGAGCAACAAACTCGTTCCGCGTGCCCTCGAAATTGGATAGTTTGTTGTCGAGGTGCCCATTTTTGATTTACAACCCTTTCTGCCGACCAGATCGAAATACGGAAACCGAGTCCCGTTGCTTCTTTTACGGCCGCTCCGATCCACTGTACATTCGAACTGAAAAGTTTATTCGAGGGAGCAGTGCCCCCTATGAATTAAAATATACCCATCAACTCTCTCCTTTGCAATTGGTTGTATTATATTGGTTGGTTGGTTGTAAATTTATACTGTTCGGGGCGAATAAAGTAAATGATACTTTAAGGGTTGATCGCACTAAACTTACAGTAAACTTACAAAAAGAAATGGCTTGCAGAAACTTCAAACAGTATCAGCAGTAATATTAGTATCCACTATCAGATTTTTTAAGGAGTTACGCTTTCAAGACTCCGTAGATACATGATTTCGTATAAAAAATAAAATAGAAATTTATTTTTATGCTCAGAAAGAAGCTACGGTCCGTTTCGGATCCCAGATTCTTTCCACAGATACATTTGGACGGTCTCGAATTTATTATTTCGTTCCGTTTGCTCCGTTTCGTCGGAGCATCGCGACGCCTCTGACTCGAGAACCGGTGCACTTTTATCATCGGCGGACGCTAGACTATCGATTAAAGAGTGTCGACATGCAAAGTGAGAGTGAGCTTATTCCGGAATATCCAGTATTTCTAGTATCGGACGCTTGGCGCCTATCGTTCGATTATGAATTCCAAACGCGACACGATTATATAAGCCCGTGATAGCTTAATTACTCTAATGATCGAAACTCGACGGATAATGAAAGCGTTCGCATTACGAAAACCGACAGAGACGAAGCTGAGCCATTCTCGCGACGATCGCGATCGTTTGACAAATTTTTCAACGCACTTAACGTCGGGAGCAGCAAACTTTCAAATCTTCATTAACTATTTGCCTCGAAACAGCACCAGCTGCGTTACGCGAAGATTGTTTTTCCAGTTATTTAATGAATATTATTCAATACGTGATTCGCTCAACTTAAAGTAAAAATATTTTTTAAACTGTCGAATGCTTGCAATATAAAAGATACGTTCCGTTTTGTAAACGAAATAACGAATTTTGGATAATACGAAACGAACGCATTACGGAAAAGAAACTTCTGTTTTTTTGCACAAATATTTACAATTATAGCCACATGGAAAACTTTCGAATCGATTATATTTGTATTAAGGACGAAAACAACACGAGCGTAATTAAGACACCGAATAACATTCGTAGCGATTAATATTCTGTTGTCGCGCATTGGGAACAGTAATAAAAGCATAACGCTAAAGCGTAGACTCGATCGACCGGTTTCGAGATCGTTTAATACTCTATTCCGTTTTTCCTGGCAACTTTTATAACGGGCCCTGTTTGAAAACACGTGTTTTTACGTATCGCGTTCGCAAGTTGTTTCGCAAATTTTTAAATGAATTCAGGTGGCTGAAACGACCCGTTTGTAAACGTGTACGATTTTCGAAGACAACGCGTACAGATTATTAACCGAGACCATAAGGTTTCGTGAAATATATTCGATACGCCGTGACTTTATCCCGAACGTACGATAATAAATGGTGTTCTAGAATTCCTTTATATGCAGCGCCGTTCGTAATATCAGTAATTTGCATCGGCGAACAGACACCTTGAACCGGAGAAAACGCCCCAAACTATAGTGTTCATCGGGCGTTTCGCGTTTGTAAATATTCATACGAATAAAGAGAATGTTAACCGCGTCATTTTTTCTCCCCGTTCCTATCACGTTTCAATCCGAGATTGCATAAAATTTTAAAAACATGTTCGAGCATACTCTACACGCTTCAGAATTAAGAGACACACTCGACAACTTTCAAGAGTTTGATAGAATGATTTAGCAAGAAACTACACGCATCAACGTGTTCGTTTGATGTTCTTCCCGTGCAGAGAAAATTGTTGAAACGCGCAGTCGATGTGTACGATGCAATTAGAAATCAAACAGAAACGATTGCTACGAAGCTAAAGTGGCTGTATCTTGGAAACGAGGGGTTTACGAATCTACGTTTACGAGGATTCTTTTCTTAATTCTCAAGCGTAGAATACACGTTGGAACGTTGCCGCACAATTATCTGGCTGTAGGAGCTTTCAAGAGGCTTTCAAGATTCAAAACATTGCATTCACTAAATTAGATGTGAAGTGCTGAATCAACTTTCCTAGATTCTTTCGGAACAATCTTCTATTTAACGTGTACTGAATATTTCTAAAAAATAAAATAATAAAATAATGAAATTTTAATACAGACGGGTAATTTACTTTACTGAAATTGAAAAATTCATCAATCACGGACTCCATAATTTTTTGAAAATAATAAAATTAAAAATCTAATGATACAAAATTTTTTAACGTGTTTTCCTGTTTATATTTGTAGAAGAAGAGGAGTCTCGTTGATTTTCCGCGGCGAGTGTACGCAAAAGGGTTCTACGGTCGCGCGAAGCTGTCCACCGGGAACGAGCAAGTTTCGAGGTCGCGGAGGCGTCGACAGGACAACGTTTTAAAGCTCGTGGCCGGGCCAAAAAGTTGAGTCCAGCGTCCAGGACAAAAGGGAGCGGCGATTCTCGCTTCTACGCGAACAACGGGGGAGGGGTCCCTGGCTGGTCTCTCAGCGTGTGGCGTTGTATCCCCGGGTTGTAAAACAACTTGTAAAACGTGCGGCCGAGATGCGTTCTGTCAGCTCCGGTTCCGTGCCCGGGCTATCTACGCGGCGAATCTATGGCGGACCCGGTGAAAAAGACGCTGAAGCGCGACACGGATCCGAGTTATGACGCGAAACTTTGTACGAACCGGCGAGCAACGAAGATTTATGCGAACCGTCGTCCGGGCACAATGACGGTTCGAGCGACGCGGACAGGCGATCGCCGAGGAAAAGGATTACCACGTTGCCCGATTCGTTCAGTCGGAAGTTAATTAGCCGACTCGAAAGTCGCGGG